TTGGAGATTATGAACAACTTGTTTTGTGATGCTGCTGTGTTTTTGGGGGTGTAGTTGAGAAGTTGTCTTGTTGTTGTTGTTGTTGTTGTTTTTATTATTTATTTATAATTTAATTTAATTTATTTTGTTTTGTTTTATGTTGTTGGACTTTAGTGCTCCATATTTTGGTTGCCTTGTGCGCACTTCAAGAAGGATGACTTGCTAATGGAAAGGTTTTCTCATGCATCGAGGAACAGATGGTCGCTTGATTGAAGAGTTTGTTGCTAGATGATGTTGCAGCTTTTGGATTTATCAATTTGTGGAATTTTAAAATGGATATTTAATTTTAGGCTGGGGTTCACTTTGTTTTCTTGTAATGTTTATGCTGCTGTTTGTCAGTTGGTTCGGGCCAAACATGTTTTCCTCCTTTTGGAACAATGCTTAATAGAAGTGTTGTTTTCACCTTCATTCTATAAAATGTTGTTATTACCTTACTGCTAAAAAAAAAAATCATGATAATGAACTACTTACAATTGCCAAGGCTAATTCTAATTTCAAGCTCAAATAATTGGTTGAAATTCATCTTCAACTTGATGATTATGCACTGACTTGGACAATGGGCACGAGTCATCATGCAATGCATGACTCCCTATAACTAGTATATATAAACCGATGTTGATAACAGCTTTATGGCAATGTCTTTCAACTGCTTTGTCTTGTAAAGAAATAGGAGAACAAGGTTGGATACTAAACTAATTGACCATCAATTAGAGGGTGTGTGGAGGTATCCTATCCTTTTGATCACACATCATATGAAGCAAGCTTTGAAGGGTCTGTGAAATATACTCGGCGACAAACTCAACATGAAATTGAATTTCTAACCAGACCAAACCCAGACCTTTTGCATTTGCTTCGATTCTATATGTTACTATTTTCCTTAGAATAAACAAGATGTATTTGGTATTCTTAATGCTGTGTTTGCTTTAGGGATTTTGGAAGGAATTTAAAAAGGGAAAGGAAAAATGTGTGTAAAATTAAGTATATTTTATTCATATTTCACTCACTTTTTTCAAATTTCTTTCCAAATCTCCCAACCAAACACAACGTAAAGTATATTTTATTCATATTTCACTCACCTTTTTCAAATTTCTTTCCAAATCTCCCAACCAAACACAACGTAAGAGTCTTTGTACAACTGAAGTTTTTAACCAATCTACTTACTGGCATAGCATTATATGTTTCTCTTTGTATATCACTGAAGAAAATTATGATTTCAAATGGTTGTTGGAGATCTTTCTCTCTTATTTTTTTTATGAATGATGATTGTTGGAGTTGTTGAATATTATGTAAACATTTTCTTTTATGAATTTGTTGTCAATTTGATAATTAAATTGGTGATGGAAGCTTTTTATGTCCTCTGTGGGGTTGATGGACGCAAATTATTTGTCCTACTTATACTGTGTTTGGATAATGGATTCAAACAATAATTTGGAAAAAAAAAGAGAATGTGAGGTTGGAAAATTGTGAATTAAATATAAATTAAAATTTTCTTCCATTTGTTATCTCCTTTTCAAATTCTCAACTTAAATTTATAATTCAAACACAAAAAGGTCAATCTATAATGCTTATCACACATATCATACGTAGGTTATAGTCAATTTTGGTATTGGTTTTGAACTATTGCAGTGATAGGTTACTGGGTATTACGTGGTGGAGCAAGCAAATTATCAAAATAAAAATTGGTTAAGACTTGTTGATTATATTTGAAAGTAATGTTAGTTATAATTTATTAAAAACTAAAATTTTTAATTTTGTCAATTTAAACCTTAAGCTCTTTATTTGTTTTGAATTTAAATCATTTGTTTATTTTTGTTAAAAAAAGTATTTAGTCATTAAACTGAGTGGGTGTTTGGGAAGCGAGTTTTGTTGTAGGTTTTTCTAATTAAAAGCATTGCATGTAACATCAAATTAAATGCCCCACAGGCTTACATCTTTCCAAGCCAACACTTGGACACAAAAGTATGAGTTCTAACTCAAATACAAATAAAGCCCTAGGCTTGAGTGTTTACATGTACTAACAAATAAAAGCAAACAACTGAAAATAGTCTCCAGAATCCAAGTCCTTCCAAGCTAAGTCCTTGGAGGTAGCTTATCACCTGAACCTGAAAATGATGTTCCCATATAGGGTGAGCCACAGCCCAGTAGAAATAAACTAAACCAAATATAAGCATTGAATAAAGCAATAGCATTCAATAGATGGTTAACCAAGATAATCAATTACATCATTTTACGGTTTCGTGACATTAATGTCTAAGACACGTTTTACTTTCCAACATTATCAATATGGCTCAGAACCTGGCCAAACTTACAACACTGAACTATATATATCAAATTCACATTCTTTCAATGCCAACAAACAAATGAGACTCAGGCTCAAATCAAAACACTTCATACTTCCAGTTTGATACACATTTTAGTGCTGTATCAATAAAAACACTTCAATATAAATAAGCACACATAAAAGTGATGCTAATGGAGTCCATCCCCTATCTCCTCCCAAACAAAATCCGGTTTAGAGGTCCATCCCCTATCTTCCCCTAAACCGTGGAGTACATCCCCTATCTCCTCCCACACAAAACAAAGTATGTGAACACATAACATAAACACCACACAATCAATACACATAATGTCTGTATTAATTCAACAGTCAAAATTAATGACTCAACCAATGTGATTAGTTTCAGTTATACCTAATCCACATGCATTGTCTACAACAATCCCGACTATCCTCCACCGATAGCTCAAAACAGTTATTTCTAGACTGGAAATAAATATAACAACAATTCACTAGGCGAGTGGTTTAAATTATCCCACCACACCATTTAATCAATGAATTCCTCAATTTCATGAATTTAACCAAATTCCCCAATTCCCTTAAATTAATTATACAAATTAATTAATTAACACAACTAGGGTTTTTCCCAAAATTATCAAAGTAACCCCAACATATCAAAATACCAAAACTTAGAACAAAACCTATAAAATGGAGTAGGAAATCCCTACCTCGAAGAAAACAACCCAAATGGAGAAGACAGAGATGAAGACCCAAATTCCAATGTGCTCCAAATCACCAAACGTTCAGATTAAACGGAAGCCCTCGACCCACTCCAAATAGATCGGAACTTCCATTTTTAATTTTCTTCAACTTTCATTTTTATTTTTATTCCACTTCCATTTTTATTCAATCTACTTTTCTATTAAACTTATTTTTTTTATTTAATTTCCAAATAGATCGTTAAGGTATAGTGGTTTCTGGATTATACTTCTATTTTTGACTTTATGCAACTTTCATTTTTATTTTTATTCTACTTCCATTTTAATTCAATTTACATTCCTATCTCGCTCGAGCCAAGAATGCAATGCTTCAGGTCTGCAACCCTGAAGCATGCTCGAGCGACAGAATGCTCGCTCGAGCAAGGAACTCGAAAACATACACCTCTCTCGCTCGAGCGAAGGAAATCTCGCTCGAGCGAATAAGCACTACCCTCAGGTCTAGATCAGACGCAGTCGCTCGCTCGAGCGAAGCAAATCTGGATCGAGCCAGAAGACACAGAAAAACAACCCTCGCTCGAGCGACCAAACCCTGGCTCGAGCGACCAACCCAAAAACTGGACAGCAACACTTGGTTTACGAACCCAACCAACCTGAAACAAACCTGCCCAACACATCCTATAACTCCAAATGAGAAAATAAAGAACGACAACAACAAATATACAGTGACAGAATAAACGGAACCCAAGTCTGGATACAATGATCAAATGAGAAAAGACCGGGGTCGCTATACTACTTATACTGTGTTTGGATAATAGATTCAAACAATAATTTGGAAAAAAAAAGAGAATGTGAGGTTGGAAAATTGTGAATTAAATATAAATTAAAATTTTCTTCCATTTCTTATCTCCTTTTCAAATTCTCAACTTAAATTTATAATTCAAACACAAAAAGGTCAATCTATAATGCTTATCATACATATCATACGTAGGTTATAGTCAATTTTGGTATTGGTTTTAAACTATTGCAGTGATAGGTTACTGGGTATTACGTGGTGGAGCAAGCAAATTATCAAAATAAAAATTGGTTAAGACTTGTTGATTATATTTGAAAGTAATGTTAGTTATAATTTATTAAAAACTAAAATTTTTAATTTTGTCAATTTAAACCTTAAGCTCTTTATTTGTTTTGAATTTAAATCATTTGTTTATTTTTGTTAAAAAAAGTATTTAGTCATTAAACTGAGTGGGTGTTTGGGAAGCGAGTTTTGTTGTAGGTTTTTTTAGTTGTAAAATATTATTGAAGAAATTTTTTTTTTGTATTTGGGAAGATAGTTGGGTTTTTTTATAATTTGATGTGATGTTTGTGAGAGAAAAAATGAAATGATTATAAGGTTTGATGTGATATTTTGTTTAGATTTGTTTTTTTGGTTTTGTAACCAATTTGTCTTTTAGTAAAAAAAATAAAAAAAAAAACCAAAAAACTTTCGTCCCAAACAGCGCCTGAATGAAAAAAGGATTGGGCATTTAACCCATTGGTTATATAGCACTTTTTACGGTCTAAGGTTTCGAGTTTAATTCTTATTGACAAAAATTTAATATATTTTGTGCTGATATTTATTTTTCTCCCATTATTATGGGATTGTATATGAATAGTAGTTGTTGAGTTTCGCTTTAGACATTCCTATGCTGAGTTTAATAAATAAAATTTTCTTTTTTCTTTCAATTTTACTCGATGAAAATATATAAATTATTTAGATTAAAAATAAGTTAAGGAATTAAGAATTTAATTAATAAAACTAGAACAAAGATTTATTTTGTTATAAAAATCAAATTTATTAATTTTTTCAATTTTGTTTGGAAAAAATGCAAATTACTGTATGCTTTCAAAAACAATTTCAAATTAATAATAAAATTTAACAATTTTAATAGTTGAATCCATAAATTTTTTTTTGTAGAATTTATAAATATTTTGTCAACAACGCCTCTCTCTCTCTCACTCTCTCAGCTTGAAGAAGATGTCAAGAAGAGTTTCTGGGCTCGTTTGGTTTGATTTTCTGAAAAAAATTTGGGAAATTTTCTCTACAAATAAGTTTTCAAAAATAATCAAACCAAACAAATTTTCCCAAAAAAATTTCCCAAAACTTGTAAACCAAACAAGTTTTCCAAACAAATCTCTCTCTCACACACATCAAATCAATCACTTTTTCCAAAACTCTATCTCAAAATAATTTTCCAAAACATCTTTTAAAAAAAACCAAACCAAACATGTTTTCGTACTTTTTATCTCTAAAACACATCTCTCAAACACAAACCAAACATACCCTCTGTTTCTTCCATTATTGGACAAAGAAGAAGAAGCATTGCTGATCATAGTTGTCAAAAAGGTACAATATTTCCCTCTCTAATTAATCATCCCTCCTCATTCTTATTTCTTCTGTTTCGTTCTCTCTCTACTTCTACCCGAAACTCTAGTTCTTCTCCTGTTCGATGCAGTGATCTCCAAGACGCTGTAAATTCATTCAATCTCATGATCCAAATGCGACCTTTCCCTCCCATTTCTCAATGCACGAAAGCTTTACGACCTATTTTGAAAATGGGTCATTACGACATCGCACTTCGTCTTATTGGGAAATTGCATTTTCTAGGCATTCTGGTCAATATCTACACCTTCAACATTGCTATTAACTGTTATTGCCGCCTGAATCAAGTCGATTTTGGGTTCTCTCTTTTGGGTATCCTCTTCAAACGCGGTTATACACCCAATGTAACTACCTTCACAACTCTGATTAATGGACTTATTTTGCAAGATAAAACTCCTCAAGCTGTGGAGTTATTTAAGAAATTAATGAGAACTAGAGAAATTGAACCCGACGTGGTTATGTATGGAACCATTGTTAATGGGCTCTGTAGAACGGGGAACACTATCAGGGCTGTTAGTTTGCTTAGGATAATGGAAGAGGGAAGTTGTAAACCTAACACCATAGTGTATAACACGGTCATTGACAGTCTTTGCAAGGATAGAATGGTGGATGATGCTATGAAATTATTTTCCAAGATGAATGAACAAGGCTTTCATCGAGATGTTGTCACTTATAACTCTTTGATTCATGGCCTATGTAATTTTGGCCGGTGGAAGGAGGCTACCGGAATGTTTAGAGAAATGTTGGATAGTGGTATTGCTCCAAATGTTCATACGTATAGTGTGTTGCTGGATGCATGTACCAAGGAAGGGAAGATGAAAGAGGCAGAGGGGGTACTTGAAGTCATGATACAAAGAGGTGTGGATCCTGATGTAGTCACATACAATGCTCTAATAGATGGATATTGTTTGCAAGGCCAAATGGATGAAGCAATCAGAGTGTTCAATACCATGGTGGATAGGGGCCTTCACCCTGATGATTTTAGCTATACCATTCTAATCAATGGATATTGCAAGAAAACGAAAATAGATGAGGCCATGCATCTTTTTCGAGCGTTGCCTCGAAGGGGGTTGAAACCTAACAATAGAACTTTCAATGCTATGTTATGGGGTTTGTTTCAAACAGGTAGATGTGGAGCTGCTCAAAAACTTTTCAATGATATGCAAGCTATAGGCATAAATCCAAATTCTCAAACTTATGGTATCTTGTTGGATGGGTTGTGCAAAAATGGGCATATTTCTGAAGCATTGTCATTATTCCACATGATGGAAAGCAACGGTTTACATCTTGATATTGTTAAGTATAGTATCCTCATTGATGCATTCTGCAAGGATAAAAAGCTTGACATTGCAAGGGCCATTTTCAGTAACCTTTCTTCCAAAAGATTACAACCAAATGTTAAGACATACACTATGACGATTCGAGGTCTTTGTGAAGAAGGCTTACTGCATGAAGCTAAAGAGTTGTTTGTTAAAATGGAACAGAGTGGTTGTTTGCCAAATGATGTCACTTACAACAATATTATCCGGGGATTTATTGGACAACACAAGTGCTATGAGGCATTAATACTTATTGAGGAAATGGTTCAAAGGGGTTTTTCAGTAGATGCATCCAATTCTTCCGTGATCATAGATATACTCTCGACTAAAGGACAAGATCCTTCTCTCCGAGAAGTGATAAAGAAGTTCATGCCAAAAGATAGTCATGGAATGCATGATATTGAGTAAATTTCTTAAACTATGAAGGTAAAGCTTCACACATTTTAAATTATATATTATGAAGCTGTTCAAAATAATTCAATGGCAAGAGCAAATACTTGTTGAATTGACAATTGTTCCTTTTATTCTAAGCTATTCAAAAATTATATATTTTTTTATATTACTCTTTTGTTATTTATTAGTATGCTATATATTCTTGTGTTGACTAAAATGACTATCAGAAGTTCATGCATGGTTTGCTCCAATTGAAGGTCGTGTACTGGTAGTTGGCTTGATCAACTTTTGAAATATTTCTTATGCTAGAAAGAAAACATGCACCATTTGGTATATCTGTGATTTCATTGTTGGGATTAAGTATGGCTCTTCTCTTACATTAGGATGAACATGTGGAAGGATTTGACTTTTGAAAACATTGGTTAAAATTAAATGGATAGAGAATGATCATGTAGACTTTGATTCATTTGAAGTAGTTTATATATTTTGGCTCTTAAGTCTAGCACAATTATCTATATAATAAAGCACCTAGCTTTTTGAAAATGTACTACAATTTTGTCCTAGATGTCGCTTTGAATGGTTAGGTTTAACACAATCTAATGGTCTAAAAATGTCCAATAAACAAATTGTTTTTTAATGGTTGAGATTGTTTGTTTGGCATACATCCTACGGTGGAGGATACATTTTCTCCTTTTGTTTCTTCTTCCAGCCTATCCCTTTCTGTTCAACTCTCTCTCATTTGAATTTCAAATTTCAAACACACCTTCTCTTAGTCTCACTCTCTGCTTCTCTCACACTTCCTCCTTCATTCTCTTTTATGGTTCAATAATCAAAAGGTTTTGGATTAGACCCAGTTGGTTCATCGCTTTCAAACCCTCCAATCTCTTACCCATTTCACTCTCTCTGATTGCTGTCAACAACTAACCACGTGTCAACAACCAATCGAATCCATTGATTCGAACCCCAAAATTTTCAATCTGCCATTGCTAGTCAACCTCCACTAATCTCATCACACCTAAAACCCATCATTTTTCTTACCAGAGCACCACCTTGCTCTGCCACCATAGGCCAAAACACACCACCATAGATTTCTTACAATTTTGTAGAATCCCTTGATTCTTCGGTTCGTATAGTGGAGAAGCTGGGTCAAGACAGAGGTCGCAAATGGAAGTCGAAGTTTGAATTCAAGGTCATAATTATGGATGAATTAGTTTCTCATATTTATTTTTTTTTCTTGCTGCAAGTCAATAATTTTTGAGTTTTTGATATCATTGTTTGTACTTTACAGGTATAAAAACGCGTCATTGTTTGATGCTTTTAGCTTAGGTCATAGAGGAGCAACATCGATAGAGTAAGCACACCTGTTTTTCATGCTATTTATTGATTCTTTTGCTCATTCTCCCTGTTTTTGCTTCCATTCACCTGGCTATGTTTACTAGGTCCATGAGAATATTTTTGGCACATTTTTCTTAGATAGTGGATAATGACATATGTAGGGCTATTATTTGGTTACTAATTCTTTGTTATTTGGTTATTGTTCAGTTAAGGGATTTTACTCTTTCCTCCCTCTCTCTCTCTCTCAAGGTTATTGTTCAAGGTACGTCAGGTCTACTACTAGATGGTGTTGATGGTACTTGAAGTTTTTTTCTAGAGCTATTGTGTCCGTTGATGGCATTGATTGCTTTTTAGGTGTTATTAGTGCTTTTAGTTTTAATTATATTTTTTTTGTGAGTTTTGGATTAATTCTATTAGATTGAGAATTTTGGGTATACTATCAGATTGCAAAGTATCTCTTTCCATGTTTGATCAACATAAAGCCTATTTTAGTGTTTTTTGGGGTTTGCCATGATGCTATTAGATTGCAAGTTTTGGGTCTGCAAATTATCTTCTTGCTTTTTCTATTAGATTGCTATAGATTGTACATCAATGTTTTTGCTAATTACCAATGGCCTGTGCTAATGGCGAATTTTTGTGGGTTGAAGTCGGATAAATGCTTTGTGATTAAGCTTTTTCCTTTTTATGATTTTGCATGTACGCTTATGCATGCAATTTTTCTTTTGCCTATGTGTATATGTGCCATAATGGTTTTAAGGTTTATAATTTTTTAATAGTTCTTTAAAGAAAACCAATTATTTGTAATTTTTTGAATAATATTTCTAACAATTGAAGTGAGTTAATATGCCTTAATTGTTGTGAATAGAGATTCCATAATTTTTGATAAATTGCAGTGGAAACGATGCTTCAGTTTGATGCTTTTCTATAGGATCCATTACCATTCAATAGCTAGGATTTAACTCAAGGGGTTCAATCATGATGGGAAAGGGTCGTAATGATCAACAACGCTCAATTGAATAGGTCATAATTAATGAAAATAGTAAGTAACTTCCTAAAGTACTCTCAAATAAAAATCCTTTCTATTGTATTTCATTAGTTTCAAATTAGGGAGATGCTATGTAAAAAGATGCATATGGTATGTCTTTCTTAACACTACTACAAAATTTTGTAACATAAATCATAAAATGACACAACTTTTCTCACCACAAAATTATAACTTTCACTTTAGGGTGCACACCATAAATTCACTATGCGTGACCTTTACCACAAATTAACATGGCATAACTTTAAAAAAAAAAAAATCCTAACTTTCTTACGATATGCCTTTTTTAGTAGTACAGTTTATAGGATTTCCCTTCAAGTTATTATTATTAATTTTTTTGAAAATGATTGTTTAAAAGATTGGTGGTTGATTAAGATGAAAAAGTCCTTCCAAAGGTAGAGAGTGGTAAGACTTCGAAAGGGTTTTTTTCATTGGTTGCTATTGTTTGTTTGATGATTAATTTATTTTAGGTAGAAGGTATCTTGCCTTTTCATCTTGCTGGAGTGGCAAGCGTGTTGGTTGATTTGCTATGAAGACTTTCCTTTCATATTTTTTAGTGAATCTGGTTGTATTGATTATATTTTTCATAATTTTTTTTAGTTTGAAATTTGAAAAAAATAAAAAATAAAAATTGGATTTTAGATTTTTGTTTTTATCTTTATATTTCCAGTTGTGATATACTTATTTTGAAGATGCTTCAATCCACAGAGTATGAACATCTATGTTGATGATGATGATGATGATGATGATGATGAATTGTGAGTCTGTTAAGGTCATGTATATTAGAATGATTAGCTCTGTGTGTCCATGAAAGCACCATGTCTTTTATTCATGTTGCAGTGATTTAGTACCAAAGCTAGCCTCAATTGTAGTTTTTATTTTTATTTTTAATTTGGATTCTGTTAAGTGAAAACTCTTAAGGATCTGATTTTGACTTATCAATCTTGTTTTAATTTGCACCCTCATTCTGGTAATGGTGCAGAGATTTTGTTAAAGGAGTCGGGTGCTAATTTTTGAGATTAGTCAGATTCTTGATGGAGTTTTAAAGACTGTAATCTTGGACCAGGAAGAATTTCTTGTTGAATCCAAAATTTTTTGAAGTATTTGCAGTTGCAGGAGCTTGGTGTTTGTTGTTTGTTTTTCATACAAGGCAAGAGTCAAAGTTTAATTCATCATCATTACATCCCAAAAGCTTCTTCTATTCTCTTCTCCTTGAACAACTTGGTTTCGTTTCATCCTCATTGATGTATTGGTATTACTAGTTGTACTACTAATACTACTAGAAGAGAGAGACACTTCTAATCCTAGATCATTGTTAGTGAAACCCAAATCTAGGTTTAGTAATGTTAAGGAGCTCGATGATGCTCTGAGTTTCTTTAGTCAAACGGTCTGTGTCAAACCTCCGCCTTTAGTTATTCAAACTTAATCAACTATTAGTTGCTATTGCCCGGATGAAACACTATCACTATGAACATAGTCTTAACTATCTACTGCCACTTGAATTGCCTCCTTAAATATGTTTATGTACTTGGGTGATTTTTGTATTTGATTGGCTCACATCGGCTTGTGGAGAACACAAACTAGATTTGAAGTCTGCTTTGATGAAATGAATTTTTCATAGACTGTAATGTCTAAAGCCTTGCTTTGATTATGTTGATGAAAGAGAATGAAAAACATTGGTGGCATTGTCCGTTGACTAGGTATCACACAAGAGAATGCAAGGGAGAAAAGATGCGGTTGGGTGTAGAATCATTGCTTTGAAATGCACAAAACCTCCTGCATTGGTAAAGTATGAATAGGTGTTGTTCATATCCTTTCGTAAATAATCACAACCACTCAAAATAGGTGCAACCCATTGAAGTGTAACGCCCTCGAAATAATAACGATAAACCCATCATATAGACATGCATTGATATATAAAAATTTCCACTTTCTTCTAGTCATCAGAGTTCTATTACAAAAAGTATTACATGTTAACGGCAAAAGCAAATGCCCTAAAGGCTTACAGCTTTCCAAGTTAACACTTGGTTACAACAAAATAGTGCTAACTCATTTACACATTAAGCCCTTGGCTTGAATATACATGTGATACATCAAAGAAACTAAACAAGAAAAGTCTGCCCGCCTCTAGCCTCCCAAGTTACGTCCTTGGAGGTGGCATGCTACCTGTACCTGAAAATGATATTCCCATATAGGGTGAGCCACAGCCCAGTAGAGATACACTAAACCAAATATGAACAATGACTAAAATATTAGCAATTGATAGATGGTCAACACTGATACTTCTCCTTATCACACTTTACAGTTTCATAACATACAAGTCTATGTTACAACCCATTTTCCAATTCTTTTCAATTCTCAATTTACAACCATGGCTTAGAACCTAGCCAAACAATTTATATGAGACAGTAACTCATATTAAACACTTCCCCATTTCATAATAGATAAGCATACTAGCTATATCACACACCAACAGATGAGTATACAAGCTATATCATCACTTCCATAGATATGCATAAGAGCACTATCACACTTCCAAAGACAAGCATATGAGCTCTGTCAACACATTAATAGATAAGCATATGAGCTCTATCTATAGAGTCCATCCCCTATCTCCTCCCAACAACATCCGGTTTAGAGGTCCATCCCCTATCTTCCCCTAAACCGTGGAGTACATCCCCTATCTCCTCCAACACAACACAATGCATATAAATAATAATTATACACATCATCACACAACACATAAATTTAATGTATTCTTTCAACCGTCATACTCAATGACACATTCCAGTGATTAGTTTCAATTTGCCTAATCATCATGCATTGTCTACAACAATCAAGACTATCCTTCACCGATAGCCCAAAGCAGTTAATTCTATACAGAAAATAAATGCACCAATGGATATATAATCAACATTTCAACTAGGTGAGTGATAAATAATCCAACTACATCCTTTAATCCCATATCTTTCCAAATCAATTCCTCATTTCTCATAATTAATTATGCAAATTAATTAACCAATGTAATTAGGGCATTTTCCATAATTAACATTTCAACCCTTCACGGTTTCATTTTCATTAATGGTTTAACATTAATTTCACTTTTCCATGCCAAAAAAGCATCTAGGTTTTATATAGCTAAAACCCCAACTTTTGTAAATTTACACAAAAGCCCCCAAACTTTCACAAAATTACCAAACCAACCCCAACATCTCAAAATACTAAAATTTAAAGACAAAGCCCATAGTGAGGAGTAGGTTATCCTTACCTCGAAGTTAGAGCTCGGATGGAGAAGAGACCAAAACCAAAGTGCTCCAAAGACCAAGATTTTCAAATCAAAACGACGCCCTCGACGATCAACACAACTTTTACAAAGGCCGAAGAGAAGGAGGACACTCTAACTAGATCAAACCCTAGAGAGAAAGGAGTTTCTAGAGAGAGAGGCTCTCAAAAATGGTTTTTAGAAAAAGTAAAAAGAATGAGATTTAATGGAAAGTAATGTTTTTTGTTTTTTTTTTAAAAAGACAAAACCCTTTTTTAACCTTGAAAATAGAATTTGGGGAGTTTTTTGCAAAATTATGAAATTTATTGCCAATATGTTTGGCTAATTTATTGTTAAAAGATAATTGGGAGTTTGTAAAATCAATGTAATATTGGTTATGATATGAAACTGTGGAACCATGTGTGTTGGAAATGGTTGGAATGGAAGAATTGCATGTTTGATAATACACTTGTAATATAGTTCTGTGTTTTTGCCTCTTGAAAGAATGGAATTGACCAGTAATGGGTTCGGAATTGTTTAATATTAATGTTGCAATATTGTTGAAAATGGAAAAAGACCTGTTTTTTTTTTTTCTTGAAAAACTACGTGTTTAATTTCGGGGAACGAAATTCTTAAGGGGGGGGAGGTTATAAAGATCCCGGTTGTCCTTTATTGTTCTGTTTGTGTTCCGGAGGACTCGGTTCCGTGAAGTTGGGTAGTGGTATTATATCTTGTTGGTCCTTGTAATTCCACTTGATTGATGTTTAGGATGTTTTGAGCTAGTGGTTGTTACAGGTTGGTTAGGCCTTGGTTTTCAATTCTTGTTGTCCAGTTTTTAAGCGATCCGCTCGAGCGGGTTCTTCTTGCGCTCGAGCGGGGATGGCACACTCCAGTATTGTCGTTCTTGTCAAACTTCCTGCAGATTGTGATTTTTACGCTCGATGCGGTTGTTGGGCGTTTGAGCGGGTGGTACTTTTCGGTTGTAAGTTCGGGGAGGGAGAATATTACGCTCAGCGGGACTGGGTTTTCGAGCGTCGAGCGTGAGTGCTTTATTTTGTGTCTTGGAGCATCGAGCGGCCTTATTACGCTGAGCAGTGCCAGATTTTTGTTCTTGCACTCGGAGCGGTTGTGTTCTCCGCTCGACGGGTCATACGTATATGAGTTATCGCTGGGTGATTTTAAAGTCACTTTTTACTTTTCTTTCTCTCTCCTACT